GGGGGGGAGGGGGGGTTAAGATCTGGACTCTGCCATTTTCTGCTTTTCAGGAGGGTAAGAAGGGTCGATGCTTGCCCACGTGTTTTTGCCTATAACCCAACTTTTCTTTTTGAAGTTTACTTTTAAAATAAAAGTCGAACGTCGGAGGGTGAGACGATGGGATGAGACGTTCGACAAATGCTAAGAAAAAAATGGCTCGCCTTTTTTCTTCTTCATATCTCACTTTAACCCTTTTTTTTTTAAATAGGAACTATTTGCACCATGCCGGAAAGCGAGACTTCGGACTGCAGAGTTGCAGGGGGCATAGGGATTCCATTTCGTCTCCTCTTTCTGCCCGACGAGATGATCCGTTTCCGATGGATTCTCTCGTTTCCTCGCTTTCGGGGACGAAATTCGTTCGGGAATGCCAGGAGTCGCCAATATCCTCGAAGTGTCACGAGGGAACGAGAATTTCGAGTACCATTCAACGCATTCCTGTTGGAAAATTCCCCGCTTTCGGACGCGTCTCGTGTCATGTCCGCATCTCGGAGAAAAACAGTTCCATTTGGAGGAATTCCCACGTGATAAGCCATTCCGCGATCCACAGAATCCGACATTTTCCTCGAAAGTCGAGAGGAATGGAAGCAATCCGTCGGTTGGGAATCGTGTGGTGCGTGGTCTGGGCCGCCCGGGCCCAGAATCCGTGCCCGAGGCCGGAAGAAATCGCCCCGTGCGTCTGCATCTTCGATCAGTCCGCCGTCGCCGTCGACGTGGATTGCTCCGATGCCGACACCAGCGATCAGATCTACACCGCCTTCAACGATGCTACCTGGACCTTCCGCAATCTCCGGTCGGTCCCGAACGACTCCATGTCGACGCACCGTCCGAGTCGTCTCGCGTCCCTCGCCGATTTTTTACTCGAAATTTTCTCGAGCGAATGAATTTTTTGCAAAATTTTGACCTCGTTTGGATTTTCCCCCATAATTCCAGTTCCTTCCGCATGGAGTACTCCCCCGTTCGCGACCTCCCCCCCGGAGTGTTCGGCTCCCAGAGCTTCCAGCAGATGGAAATCGTCTTCACCGACATCTCGACCGTAGACCCATCGGCCCTCTCCCCCTCCGCGGACCGACTGACTTCTCTGACGATGTCGGAGAACCTCGTTTCCTCGTTCCCCTTCGACCTTCTCCCCGAGATGCGGGTCCTCACTCACTTGGATCTGTCGTGGAACGCCCTCACCTTCCTGCCCGCCATTCGGAGTTCCAGCCTCGAGGCTCTCTATCTCTACATGAATCGCATCGATCGCTTCGACGAGGGAACGTGGTCCCTGCCCAATCTCAAGTACTTCTTCATCGGTGAGTGCGAATTTCACGGATATTCGGCCCGTCGGAACGAGCGAGAACGGATTCGATCGTCTGTTCAGGCAGCAACCAATTCTCGGAACTGCCACTCGGACTGGTGGAGAGCATGGGCCAGCTGGTCGTGTTCTCCGCCCAGTTCTCCCTACTGGGCCCGCTGCGAAACGGAAGCCTCGCCTTCACCGGTGGGGCCATCGACGAAGTCAACCTCGCCGTCAACTCAATCTCGAACTTGGAGTCGGGGGCCATCTCAGGTCATCGCATCGCAGATTCCACTTCCATTTTTTTTAAAATTCGATTTGATTTGTTTGTTTTTCGTCTGGCTATAGGACTAGGAATCAATTCGGACTTGGTGCTGTCTCAAAACGGGATCCGAGAACTCACCGAAGACTCCTTTCGGCCCATCCTTGAAGTTCTTTCGAGGGGTGCTGGGCTCCTCCAGCTCAACGGTTCGGTTCGGTTTGCATCTCTCTAAATTTCGACGAGTCGAAAAGGTCACAACCGGTCACCCGTTGGATTCTCGACGACAGGGAATCCGATATCCTGCGATTGCAGCATCGCATGGCTGGCGGTGAGAGAGGAATTCCGGGTCACCGTCAGGGGAAACTGCAGGGAAGATGGAACGCCCTTGCAAAATTTGGATCCGGATGTTTACCTAGAACTTTGCATAAACCGACAGCCACCTATGTCCGGGGATATTTCCACTTGGAGACCTAAGCCTCCGAGAAACGAATAAAAGAGGCTTTAGTTGAATTGGCTGAGTCTTTCCTCTGGCAACAACAGACGACTGGTGGTCGAAGGAAAACTTGTCCCCAGTGGGCATCTTCGATTCGAGCGTTGAGGTCGAACGAGGTATTTCCTCTCGGCCCCCTTCGACTCTCGAATTCTATGGGATTTTTTTTTGTTAATTCCCCGTCGTAAAACCCCGTTCCTCCTTCGAATTCCTATTCTTCACTTCGAGAACCGTAGGAAATGCTGTCACGTCTCGATCTGTTCGGAAGTCGTGGTGTGCTCGTGCCTTTCCGTGTCTTTCTGCAAGAGAATCTCGACGCTTTCGGCGATCCGAGAGGCTAGTTGGATCTTCGCGATCTCGCAGAAAAGCATGATAGAAATAGAAGTCCGTTCACCGTGTCTGGACGACCTTGTCGCGGATGTTTTGTCGCGTTAAAGATGAACCTCCTGTCGCCGAATCGTCGGGGAGCCACAGGGATCGCCCACTGGAAACGCTAAGAGAGTCTTCCCCGCGCAACCTTCAAGGGAAATGAGATTCCCTCAGAGACGCGCGTGGAGGGAATGGGGGAGGGGGGAGGGGGAGGAGGGAGGTGAGGGGGAAGACATTCGAGGCGAGCATTGCATCAGTCACTCCAGTCAAGAAAGCCCGTGCCTCTGGAGTCCCTGAGATCCAGCCCGCTGCCTATTGACTCATTCTGCCACTCATTCTAGCAGAACTCTCATTTGCTCTCTTCCGATCAAAGGGTCACGTCTATGCCTAATTTCAATGCAACTCTCCACGGTTGGAATTTTCGTAACAATAAACCAAGAAAAGCGCTTTAAAGATTTTGTGAAATGTTCGACCATCGAACAGTTTAGAACGAAATTATTACTTGTCCAGTTAAATTACTTGACGCGAAGTTATGAGATTTTTGCACGCGTATCCGGAGAAACGTGTCTGAACGCTTTAGACGATGCGCAATTTAAAAAAAAAACGGATGCCGTGAGAAGAGTTTATTAGGATGAACATCCAGAAACGAAATTCCGACGGAATCACTGGATGATGTTCTGGACGAGATCGAGCAAACCGGCTACGATGTTCCCGAACGCTTCCTTCGCGGACGCTTTGATGACCTCGACGAACTTGTTTCCGGAGTCCAGGAACTCGGCCCACTTGTCCTGGAACGTGCGGACCAGTTGCGTCCAGAAGGCGTCGGCCAGGATCTCCAGCTTCTTCCCCAGGCCCGAGGTGACGTCGGTCCAGATGTCGACCAGCCTGGAGATGCTCAGGCCGTAGATGGTTTCCGCGACTTTGGCCAGCTTCTCCAGTTTTTCTAGCTTTTTTTCCGCGAGTTCTTGGAATCCTTCCCGGAGCGCCTCCAGTATGACGTTTGCCTGGGTCTCCGTCCCCTGAGATCACGGATCAAATCGAGTTTCCGTTTCGTCATCGTCGGTTTATTGCATCCCGAGAAAATAAACATTTTACTCTTCAAATTTGGAAGCCGCGAAATAAGCAAAATCACTCGTCGTAGGAAAGACGTGACGAACGGTACAAGAACGATGCATGGATGATGCATGTAAAATAATGGCTATTCAAAATATTCCTGGAATTTCACCCTTATCATGACTTCTCCCATTCTGCCTGCAAAATGCAAATATGACTTAGTGGTGGCATCCCTCGAGGTATTTTTCTGCACATGTCGCCTCTTGAGGAGGTTTCTTGCAGCAGCTACTACTAATTTTTCTTTTAATTTTTTTTTCTTCAAATATTCTTTTCCTTCATTAGGATGCTGGCCATTAGTGCGGTTTTTATCAGGCTTGTCATTAGGTGCCAGTTTGAGAGAAAGAGAGAGCAAGAGATAGGGGCGAGAACTCGAAAGACTCCAGACAGGATGAAGGCCGCAGATCAATTTTCCCCGATCTCGTTGCAGAAGCGTCGTTTCTTAGGCACTCTCGTGCCTCGTCTCGACGGTGGGTACAGCGAGAATTTTCTCCATTTCCTCCATGTGATGCATTTCAGCCACATTGAAATGAGATCACGGGTCCCTGTCTGAATCCGAGTGGACAGACGCTTTACGTGAAGCTCAATGCATCGCATCGAGGAAATTTTGATCAAATGAAAATTCTTAGTGCAGTTCTTCACTCTTAAGAATCTTTCACCCGAGACGAACGATTTGAGGGGTGGTGAGGAGAACGTCTTCGTATGCATTTAACAGACGTAAATGCCTATGGTGGAAAAATAAAGGAGACACGAGGAAAGAGACCGTCGATAGACCGGATGAACTCTGACCTTGAGGACGGAATAGACGGCTTGAAATCGTTCCTGGATCTTCCCGATGGTTTCCTGAGAAGCGTCGAAGAGAGCCTGCCGGAAGCCTTCACCCTTCCGGACGGCAACCTCGACGATCTCGTCCATGAGAAGAGCGAAGGCCTCGTACTGGTGGGAGCCTTGAAGGACGAGAGCGTCCGTCGCGACGCGAAGGTCCTGGGCCAGGTCCCTCAAGAGGAACAGCGGACGGACGTAGAGACGGAGGGACTCGGTGGCGTCGACGACGCCGTCCGCGACGCGACCGAGGAGGGAGGACACGCGTTCGAAGACGACGTGCTGTCGGATGGCCTCGTCCGCTTCGCTCAGTCGCTTCGTCAGCTCCTTCGCCTGCGCCACGGTCACGTGCCCCAGGGACTCCAATGAGAGGTCGGGGAGGACCTGGGAGAATTCGACCGCCAGTCTCTCTATCACCGGCGCGGCAGTCATCGACGGCAGCGGCGGAGGCGGGGTCGTCGATCTCAACTGGTTCCATAGGTCCTCCCAAAACCCTCTCTCCTCTAAACCCTAAGAAACGAAGGGAAGAAGAGGAACGTTTTTTCGACGAGATCGACGGATTAAAAACGGGATTCTGTTAAGTGTGAGTGACCTTATGGTCGGGAAAGCAGAAGCCGTCGCCCACGACGACAGCGACGAGGAAAACACGAAACAGCAGCGATCTCGTCAACATCTTCAAGATCGCGTCCATGTTCACGTATGATGGCGTTTCCTTTCCCATCCCCTCAATTTATAAAAATGGTTATGGGGGTGCCTTCATGGTCGCAGGCCATGGCCCCATTCCCCACAGCATTGACACCCTTTGACGAGTAAGCGATTCTTTCCAAATGTCTCCAGCCGGTTCGGTTTTTCGTACGGCGCAAAAAAAAAGGAAGAGGATCTTTATTTCTAAAAGTTGGTATATTGTCTGGGTCGTTTTCAAGTTGAAACATGGGAATGAATTTTATAACTTGTTGCAATTCCGAGTCACTTGCATCTGCACGAGTGCACATCAAGATCAATTACGAATTCAAAATAGGACATTCCCCTGAAGCGCTTTTGTTAACTACGAAAGTACACCTAGAAGGCATAAAGAATAAATTTACAAACGTAGAAGCAGTTGACATAAGTAAAAAAAAAGAAAAACAAGAAAGGTTGTTAAGTTCCGTAAAAGTACAATAATAGTCATTCGATTACCCATTGAAGCGATCATAAAACTCAAGAAGCGCTAAATAGACAACCAAAATGTCACTCGTGCAATCGCAAAACTGCGTAGAACGGCGAGGAATAGTGTCTGACGTCTGAGATTCCTGCAGAGCGGAATCTCCCGCTCCTTGTTGGATCTTCTCCAAGAACGAATGTCTCCAAGTGAAAGAGACGAGAATATGCAGGCGCCAGTCTTTAGCCTCGTGCGAAAAAAAGTAAAGAAAAAATGAGAAAGCAGCAGCGCTGATAGCGGAGAGTTTAAATCTTTACAGGAAGGGGTAGGAAAAATTATTATTTTTAAAATCGAGATACCTGTTGAGGAAAGATCGAAACAGTAGTTTAGTTACTCAAGGGTAGGTGGCAGGAAGTAACGAAAACGGTAGAGGCTCCATTTGCTTTCGGCGAAATATATTATATCTAGCTCCTCTCTTGTATATACCATACGACCCATGCTACCCCATGCTACGCATTGCTACCATCTTCTGTACTTTCGTCTATCGTGTCTACACCATGCTACCCCATGCTACCCATTGCTACCATCTTTTGTAATTTCTTCTACCGTGTCTGCACCATGCTACTCCATGCTACCCATTGCTACTCTCCTTTGTACCTTCTTCTACCGTGTCTGAACCATGCTACTCCATGCTACCCATTGCTACTTTCCTCTGAACCCTCTCTTCAAGGCTTTACACCATGCTACTCCATGCTATCCGCTGCTATTGCCTTAACTCTCTTCTCACGCGTGTGCATCATGCTACTCTATGCTACCTACTGCTATCCTCATTTCAGCTCTCACCTCTCCCAACTCGACCATACTCCTCCATGCTACCACGCGGTTGTCTCTTGCGTAATGTTTTCTTTCAGTTTAGTCAATGCTACTATCCTCTCTGCCTTACTCTCCCGTCCGTATTCCATACTGTTGAATTTTACCTTCTGAAAATGTCACAGTACGCTATTCTCGTTGGTCTGCACAGTACCTATCAAATTTGCTCATCTTTTATCACTTTTCAAAATCTTTTCCCACTTCACTCCATAATTTCAAAATTTGCCAATGAAATGAAATAGAATGAAAACGATTTGCAAAAACATGAGCCCTCTCCCACCTTTTGAGTTGCGGTTGTGTCACTGTGATTTTCATGCTATCGTTCCTAGAGTTTCAAGCTCCAAGAAATGTTTCTGAGTGGCATGAAAGGCTTGTGAAACCTTTCACAATAGACCAACATCTAAAGAGTTTGTGTATGACTGCTTTTTGCGATTCTTGTGTTGTCACACTGATCTTGGAAATGTCCCTGGTGAAAGGCATCGAAAA